GGGGGTGGGGGGGGGGGGGGGAATTGAGGTTGTGGGAGGGAGGGAGGGAGAGTTTTGACGTCGAACAAGAGAAAGAAAGTCGGTACCGTACATATGTACCCATACGGCCCATGCACGTATCTACACGAAGTCAGCCAGCCATGCTTAGCAAATGCGCAGAAGAGAAGGAAGAGCCGCACGCACAGGCATAGTCCTCAGTGTCTGACAGGGGTTGTGCGGCTGATGCTCTGGTTCTCTCTTAGTCTGCATCCGTGCGCAAAAACGAGTTTTGTGTGTGCGAGTGAGTCGATGAGTGCAGAGGTCCGATTGGTTGCTTGATAGTGAGATGAGGAGACAGAGACAGCCATCGACCCGTTGCACGTTTGCGTTGCTCAGGGTGAAATGAAGCCTCTCTGCAGCCAAACACGCGCATCTCAGACATCACGCCTTCGTCCGGCCAGCCACACACAGACAGAGACAGACACACACCCATGTCGGCGGGCAGATTGATGCCCTTATTGGCCGGGTCATCGAGTGCTTTGCAGAAACGGCCATCGAGCGAGTGTCGACGTCTTCTTTCCTTGCTTGTCCACTCTAGAAGGCAGGGATGCATGTCCTCCTGCAGTGCACATCATGGGAGACGAGCCAGAGGACGGCAGAGATGTCGGTGCCGATTTTTCGAGCCCACAGAGACGGGGGCCGTCGATGATAATCATCTTCTCTTCCTCATTCAATGGCTGTCCAGCTACTGCATGACGGCAGTGCGCCGGTGAGGACTAATCACTCTGTATCTTCCACCCCTCAGCAGGAGCAACAGCCAGGGGTGTCAGTGTCCCATTCTGAGCGGCCATCGATACCGTCACGTTTGTGTGCGGAGGGGTCGGGCGTGTCGGTCACAGTGCACGGCGATACGGTGGACGTACGACGGTGGCTGGTGGATTCCCGCTCTTCACGCTGAGAGCTGCCTCCATTCCCTCGTGAGCAAGAGACGTACACACGCACACGACGCGCATATGGCCTCTGCAGAGCATGCTGGACTCTCATGCTTCTTCGTCCTTCACTGTGCATTTCAGCCTGTGTCTGTCTTTCAGCGCGTATCAGCGCCTGGACGGAAATCTCAACCAGGCGAGATTTTCGCGCGATGAGACGGGAGACGCCCCAAAAAGTTTTCCGCGGAACCTCTGCAGGTTTTTCCACATTCTTCTCCACGTTGGCTCTTCTGCCTTATTTCGGCCACGGATCCTCCGTTTCTTTTTCTTCTGGGCTGGTTGTTGGCTTGTGCTGTCTGCCCCATCTCCCTCTACCCCTCCCAACTCGTCCGGATGTCACCCGCCACGTTTTCCTCCACCACCGTGCCCGAAGCGAGGCCTCGCCTGGCGGTGCCCTGCCTTCTGTGGAACGCCTGGCGACTGCCTGGCGCCTGCCGAGTGCGCACACACCTTCTTCTCGCATAATCCGCCTCCATCCGGTGAGCAAGTGTGTGTTGCCTCGTGTGTAATGTGTCTTGGGCGAGGTGATGGAGTGGCCTCACTGTGCCTTTCAGCCTGTGTCTGTTTTGAAATTCAGCGCGTATTCTCAAGCGCTGCCAGCGCCTGGACGGAAATCTCAACCGGCGAGATTTTCGCGCGATGAGACGGAGACGCCCCCAAATACTAAGAGCATTGACAGATGGCATCCATGCACTCGCTTGTCCAAATCGCCTCCATGAATCTATCCACATATGCCTATGCACAAAGGGCACGCTCACTCATCCGATGAGAACACCCCAGCCCCGTCCATCGCCCCAACACCACGCCATGACTGCCTCCCGCCCCTCAAACACAGGCTAGCAGCCCGCACCAATGCAACAGACAAACGAGCACGCAGCCACCCATGCACCCGCCCTCGCCCCCTATCTGACCACCCCTGCCTCGTCAACAGCTGCTCAGTCAAGCGGGTGAAGAAGTGCTCCGCCTCCCTCCCCCACACCCCATGGACGGTGACGACCAGAGGGGTCTT